AACAAAACCATTATACCCTGATTTCCCATTTTCAATGGGTTCAGGGTATAAAAAGGAAATAGGAAATAGACTAGGCTAAAGCCCTTGGGAAGAAACTCAAGTATAAGTCATACAAGTTTACATGAGTATATATATAAATTTAAGAATCTAATTCATCGGCTGATTAGCTAACTGAATTACCAGTTAACTGATTTTAATTTGTATTTTTACTTGTTTTTGTATTTGGATTTTACATTTAATTTTAATATTTGCTTTTGTTTTTTATTTTTTATTTGTTATTTAAGTTTAATTTTAATTGTAACTTTATTTAAATATATATATATGTATATATATTTTTTTTTTAATTTCTATTTTTTTTTTTATTATATATTTTATATTTATTTTATTTAAATAACATTTCTCTGTTATTAATTTATATATTTTAATTGGCTGGCTAAATTAAATCAATCGACATTTAATTTTAGTTTTTTTATTTTTATTTATTTATTTTTAATTTAGTTTTAGTTTTAATTGCAGCTTTACTTTAATTTAATTTTTAATTTTTATACTTCAATATTACAAAGCTTAAATTGTTTTCGCAGAACCAAAACTCAAAACCCACATTAAAATCCTGAAGCAGAATTTTTGCACTTTTACAATTGAATTATTATTTTATTTTATTATTATTATTATTTTTTTTTTTCTTTGGAAAACATTTATTTAAGGTTTTATTTAAACGAGAATTCACTAGAACTATACTTATATATACTTCATAAAAGAAATAATGTATAAATATAATTTGGAAAAATGTAATATGAATCAATTCAATTATTTAAAGACTCAACTTAAATAATAAAACATAAAAAAAAATTTAATAAAAAAGTTAAATACAATTCTTTGCTTCAAGCAATGCCCATCTCTCTTTACCGAAAACTTTGCGGACTCGAATGCCCAGTAAAAATTCATGACCAGGCTACTGACCACGCCCATTCTGAGTGTGCGGCACGCGCCCTCGAAATAGTTGGCACACATTGAATTACGGCAGCCCATTCGCGTTTTAAATGCTGGCCAAATGCAATAAACGCCAACTAAAAGCCACGCCAACCGAGTAAAGCAAAAATCAACAGCCACAAAACAAATAAGAGCTGCATGGCCGGGCATAACCGACTGCAGTAATAGACGTTCACAGCTGGACGAGGCAGAGCCATGAGTAGAGCTAAGTTCGTAGCATAAATGTAGCTAACTCAGAGTGTAAATAGGTCTTATGGTAATATTTTTTACAGCTTACAATGCTCTATATATTTTATATTAATATATCAATATATATGTACATATAATATACAAGTTTTTAGCTTCTATAGCAGCAAAAAATTGATTGATTTAATTTGGTTAGATAAGCTATAGACAAAGAGACTCTATATACTCTTTTAAAAAGCATGAAGATAAATACAAAAAAAAAATATGTATATAAATGTATATAAAGTTAAAGAAACATACGGGAATTCCAGGGCAAAGTAAAAATGCTGAAAATAAAGAAATGCCAAAAGAAATGCAATAAAAATGCATTAAAATGCCAAACGAGTGCAACCAAACAATTTCTATGGCCAGCAACAATTGTGGATCCCATACAGAATATACATATATACATATGTACGTATATATATATATATATATATATATATATATATATATATATATATATATATATATGTATATACATATCTTTCATATGATACGACAATTGAATACAGCGCACAATTAGGCACAAATATGATTGAACAAAATAGCACATACATATATAAACATATAAGCATATATACATACATATGTATATTTATATATATGTCAATACATATATACATACACATCACAATATTTTTATGGCCAATAGTTCGCATAAATCTGAACCAACTGGCCAGTAATTCAAAACGTGCTTCGTGCCACCATAACGAACAGTAGTTTAATAATTTATGATCTGGCTTGATTTTTGTATAGTCTGTGCAATGTACTTGCAGTGCGCTCCAAAGTATGCAACGCCTTTCGCCTTTCGCCTTCCGCCTTTTGCTGTCCAATGAGCCGGAAATGCGGAACAACATTGCGTTCGCCGGTCTGCGGCCAATGCGCTTTTAATGCGTTCTTTGACTCTGGCGCGCGCAGACAAACCGCATTACAGATTTCCACTGATGTTAGCTGAATGAATGCAAAGCCTATAAAACGGCAGCGAATCGTAGCTTTTAAATTATCATAGATTCGACCTTTAAATAAATATGATGAAAAACAAGGGCAGAGTTGCTGCCCAAAGCTTCAGCTGTTGGTAAAATTTGGAGAGGGGTAATGGACTTGGCTGAAATAGATGTGAAATACAACTGAAAATATCTCCCACGCAAGCAAAGTTTATAAGAGTTTAAGAGTTTCACTTTCAGCTAACATAGCTGGAATTATTCAATATTATTCATTTTTGGGTCTCAAGAAATGTTTTTCTCATGAGAACCAAAAACAAGAGTTTACTGTTTTCGATTTATATTTATTTAATTTGTCCAAATAATAACGAGTTTCTAGTTAATAATAAAACATTACATAACTTATTGAATTGAGCATAATTTTCAAAAATTATCATTTATTATTATTATGTAATACAAAATATTTAATATTATTATTTATTAACTAGTTAATAGTAATAATTTTTTTTTTCGTTTTATTTTTTTTTTTTTTTTTTTTTTGTAATTATATATTTAAAATATTTTTATATACATAAATAAATATAAAAAATTGTTGCATTATTATTTATTTTGCTTAATTTTGGTTTACAAAAATATTCAGATATATAAAATATTTGGTATACGTTCATCATTTACAGGAGTTACCCAATAGCTTTTCGGTTAACATATATAAATTTTTTTGAAATAATAATTAATAATATTTAACATTAATATTCACCTTTGTTTATATAAAATGAGAACATATTATACATTAATATATATTATATAATACATAATAAATAAATTATTATCATATATATTTGTTATTTTTAATGACCATATAATATTAATCTTTTTATTATATTTGATTCATAAAACATGCCCAAAAATAACTCACTAATATAGCTGATTTACAGAGTATATGATTGGTGCAAAGTTTTTCCTGAAATAAAAACTCTACTCATTTCAATAAATTCTTTGGATACATGAAAAATCACTTAGGCGGACATGCAATGCAATTTAAATATGGAAATATGAGTGGAATTGCTGTGGTCACTTTTGCTTTTTTTTTATAAAATCAGTGTCAATAAAAATGTGGCTTGACTAACTAGTTAGTGCTTCAAATTGATGAAACGTTAAATTATTAATAAATATAAATTAAATAACAATTGGCAGACACTTAGAAAAAGTTTTTTCTATTATGGAATGAGATATATGTATATAAACGAAAAATATATATATGTATATATGCATATACAAAATGGTAAATTATAATATTGTCAATGTTTTTATTTTAAATAAAAAATAAATAAAATCGTTTGAATTTACATTTGTCTAACACATTAATTCTACTATCTATAATAATTTACTATACATTATCTATATCTGACATACATATAATTATTACAATTATTATAACCGCTGTAAAATGCCTTTTAAAAATAATTCTTCCATTAAAGTTCGTTTAGTCAGCTGATTCGAAACTAATTATTCCCTTAAAGTTCATCGAGTCAGCTGATTCATTATGCATTGTAAAAAGTTGCTCCCATTCTGTTCCGAAGATCTACAAGTTCTGTTGGCTAATTGGCCGCACTCTTTGCTGCAGTTCCCAACACTGCACAGCTCGATTTAGATTTAAAAAGTTTTAGGAAAGAAACTTGTGCTACAATCGAAAACAGAGTAGCCGCTGAGATACCTGCCAAGGGCTGGACGTTAACCAGCAGGAGCTGAGTTACAGTTAGTCGGGCTCTGACTTATTCACAGTGCACATCAAAAAATAAATAAAATAAAAAATAAAATAGTAAAATAATACAAAATACAAAAACGAAAAAATAATTGAAATTTTCTCGAATTTGACATTCGACATTTTGAATTGTGAATTATTGTTAATGTTTCGATTGTACGAGCTCTACACGCTATATCTGAAGAAAATGTCTAGCTATGGAACATCGGCCAACTGGTGCGTCTGCGAGAAGCTGCCTCGCTCCATTCTCCACATAACTCCGTCGCCGGACCTGTGGTGCGATGTGTGCGGCCGTCGTCGTCGTCCGCGCTCCTGCCTCACCTCCTCCAGCGACGAGGAGGAGGAGAGGGCAGCGGCACGCCAGCAGATGCTGGCCGAGCGTCGTCGCAACGAGGAGGCGCGCCGCAGCACCGTGCGCGTAAAGGTGGCAATGAACGCCAAGAAGCCCAAGTCCGTGCGCAAGGCCAATAGCTTGAAATGTGGCGGAGAGCGCAAGCCCCCAGTGGGTGAAGCAGCAGCTGCAGCAGCAGCAACACCGCAGCAGGAACAGCAGCAGCAGCCGATGAAATCCAAATCGAACAACAAGAACTCTAAGAGCTCCAACAAGAACCTTAAGCTATACACGGGACGCTTTGGTCAATACCGCAAGCCGCAGCGCTTGCAGCCCAAGCAGCGCAAGCAGGGTGAGGGAGCTGCAGCCGAGCCGAAGCGTGCCCAGGTTGAGCCCGAGGTGGCGGCACCGCCGCCGCCGCCATCCCCACCGCCGTCTCCGCCGGCCAGCGCCGCCAAGGCCTACGAGTCGCTGTGGGATCAGCCCACCGAGGATATGCCCAAGCTGGTGGCATTTGCGCACGAGGTATTCAATCGACCCGAGCATCTGCGCAAGAATCAGCCCAACTTCTATGACAATCTGTTTGTCAGCGATTTTATACCGCTGGACAAGCCGATTACGGACACATCTGGCGGCGCCATATCCAAGCGCCGTCGACACTTCGGACGTCCGCTGCGGCCCCACTGCAGCCGTCCGCTGCCGCCACTGTCGCAGGTTCTGGCCGACCTCTTGTCCAAGCAGAACGTGCGCGCCAAGGGCGGCGGCCTGCCGCCCAAAGAGGAGGAGGTCGTTGGCATTAAATTGGCCACCCAGTTCTCGCCGTTTGAGGTGTACGATGGCCCGTCGGAGGATGCCCTGGCGGTGGAGAGCGCCCGCGCCATGTTGAGCCGGCCCATGTCGTTGCATATCGAAAAGCGCGACGATTTGCCGTCCACACGGCTCTCCAGCTTCGAGTCGGAGCCAAGCAGCGACTGCTCATCGTCGTCGCCCTTCGATGTGCCCTCGGCGCCGCCAGCAGAGCGCCCGCGTCAAGCCTACGGTATGGGCGCTCCTCTGCGTCTGCACGAGATGATGAAGGCGGTGGCCCACTCAGGGCTGTCCGACAGCAGCGCCTCCAGCAGCAGCACGAGCAGCAGCAGCCACAAGAGCGTCAGCTCCACGCTGCCCGTGCTTCAGCAGTCGGTGCGCAGTCGCGGCGGCGAAGAGCCGCCCTACGCTGAGGAGAAGCTGCCGGTCGTTGTCGAGCCAATATCGATAGTTGAGAAGATCCTGTGGCTAATGGAGCAGCGCCCAGCCACAGAGCCCGAGCCAGCCAACCCCCTGACAGACGACGCCCTGCATCTGCAGAAGACCCTGATTGACAAGCCAAAGAAGCACAACGAGAAAGCTCACGCAGAGTCCGTGAAGGGTCTGCTGCAGTTCATGGAAAGCCTACAGATCAGCAAGCCCAACGACGGCGACGACATGCGCTCCCAAATCCTAAAGAATGACGCTGACCAAGAATTCAATCTCCCGTCGACCGAACTACTACAGCTACCAAATGATATGTCAAACGAATTGCCTTTTAATTCTACCAATAAATCAGCAGCTGATGAACAGTACCCGAACAGAGTTTACTCCACTGATCAGAGCAGAGCTCGGCTCGAGCGGGGGGCGGGGCAGAGCCCATCCAGCAATCGCAACTCGATGTGGTCTCTGCTTGGTGGTTTCTTTGCAAAAAATAAAAAACTGGGGCAGAGCTCAAGGCTAGACGAAACGAAGCCGCTGAGAGCTGCCGGAAAAGTGCATTACGGAGCCATCAATACCAACGAGGCGTCCAAAGAGCTGGCTCCCAGAAACAAGAGCTGCCAGAAATGTGGCCTAAATCGCAAGAATAAACAAAAATTGATAAATGAGAAAGTCCTAGGCAAAGCAAAGAGTTGCCAGGGCACGCATAAGCCTAGCTGTCAGCGACACTCAGCAAGCAGTTCACGAACTAGTTCAAAAATTCAAATGGAACCAGAAGCGAAGCCCCATCAAACTCAGTCAATTATTGTTAAACAACCTGAAGAAGACTTCAGCATTGAAATTTCTGATGAATCGGCTCATGAAGCCAGCTCAAAAGGTGAACCACTTCCGTTTCCAACGCCATCAAACTCTACCGTAACTGGTTCCACGCTTTACGAATCGTGCGTTGGCCTAGAGACGCCAACAAGCCAGGAGCCCGCACCTGAGCTCCAATACCAGATGCTCCGGGAACTGTTGGACGTACTGAAGGAAAAGTCGCGCCAAAGTCATCCAAAAATGTATCATGTCGTCAAGACCATGTCAACGCTTCAATATGCCAGCAGTGAGATAATCAGGCCCAAGATGTTGGCCAGCATCACGCCCCGCACGGGACGATTGAAGCAGTATATCCTAAGTCCGGCCATTGGCAGGTGTCCACCTGCCTCGGGCATCTACGAGTTCCGTACTCCAGATATACCACCTCAGAAGCTGGACGAGAATAAGACTAATATAATGAACTTGGAGGCGCTCTTTACACCTGTCGCCCATACGGCAAGCACTACGCCTACCGACGACTCCTCGGCAAGAAGTAGAGTCCTCGAGCGTAAGAAAAAATTTTACCAACCCGTGTGGCCAGCCCATCCGTTCAGGCACAGGAGTCACAGGCGCAGCATCAAATTCGAAGCTGTGCAGCTGCAAATTGACGAATCACTGGATGAAGTTCATCTGAGATCCAGCGAGGAGTCCATATTCGAGGAGCAGAAGCCGCCAAAGCAGCAAAAGAAGAAACATCGGGATATGTGGATAGTAGATGAAGCGGTGCATCAGAAGATCACGGAAATGATGGCCAAACCTATACAGCTCTTAACTCTGAATGATAAGACGGAAGTCGAAACACAATAGATAAGAAAATCAGAAAATATGTAGATATAGATATAGATATAGATATAGATATAGATATAGATATAGATATA